CTGGTAAATGACACGCCTTCTCATAGACAAGCCTATAGGGGTGAAGTACCAATCGGGTTTTTGTAGGCTGTCCTATATGCCCAAAGAGCATCATCGAGCTTGGTGGACCAATCCTTGCGGGACTGATCCACCATCTTTTCTATTATTCTTTTAAGCTCCCGATTCGTCAGCTCGGCTTGACCATTTGATTGGGGATGGTAAGCCACCGACACCTGATGCTTAACACCATAGCGAGAGAGGAGCTTATTGAATTGCCCTTGAAAATGGGTTCATCGATCACTAATGATGGTGCGAGGTGTCCTGAACCTGGAGAACAGCTACTTCAGAAATGAGCAGACCCGTCCTGCATCATTGGTGGGATGGCTTGAGCTTCTGTCCACCTCGAGACGTAGTCCACTGCAACCAGTATTTACAAATTTCCAAATGATGGAGGGGATGGGACTATGAAATCGATCCCCCAAACATCAAAATTTTCACAAATGACAGATATATGTTGGGGAATCTCATCGCGGGAAGAAATGTTACCTGACATTTGGCATCGGTCGCACTGTCGTGCGAAGGTGTCTGCATCCTTGAAGAGTGAGTTCCAATAGAAGCCCGACTGTAGCACCTTCCGCGCCGTGCGGTTTCTTTCCTCTATGGTGACCTCCAGTAGGTCCCTCGTGGCATTGAGACAGGATGTCTCCCATCTTGTGCTCCATGATGCAGCGCCGGATCACGCCATTTGATCCGATCCTGACGAGGTAAGGATCCTCTCAGAAGTAATGCTTCAGGTCGGAGAAGAACTTGCGCTTTGCATGAGTGGTCATCCCCTTTGGTAGCTGCTTGCCCACCAGATGATTGATAAAGTCAGAATACCAAGGGGCCACGCTGTCCACCCATGTAATCGCCAGCAATCGCTCACCCGGGAAGGGGTCATCGATCTCTTCCACGAAGTTGTCCACCGGAGGTGCTTCCAACCATGATAGATGATCTGAAGCAACATTCTATGCTCCCTTTTTGTCTCGGATCTCGATATCAAATTCCTGCAGAAGCAGGATCCATAGGATGAGCCTAGTCTTTGCATCAGCCTTGCTCATCAGATAGTGAATCGCCGAGTGATCTGTGTAGACCACCACATGGGAGAGCACCATATATGGTTGGAACTTATCAAATGCATACACCACAGCGAGTAGCTCCTTCTCAGTGGTGGTGTAATTTTCCTGTGCATCGTTCAAGGTCTTTGACGCGTAGTAGATGGGATGGAAGTGCTTCTCGCGTCTCTGACCAAGAACTGCTCCAACTGCATAGTCACTCGCATCGCACATCAGCTCAAAAGGAAGAGACCAGTCAGGAGTCACCATGATGGGTGCATGGTTAAGCTTCTCCTTCAATGTCTCGAATGCAGCTATGCACTCAGAAGTGAACTGGAATGGTGCATCCTTCTCCAGCAGCTTGGTCAAAGGCAGGGCAATCTTCGAGAAATCTTTAATAAATTGCCTGTAGAAACCTGCGTGACCCAGAAAGCTGCGGATCCCCTTCACACAAATGGGAGGGGGTAGCTTGTTGATCATCTCTATCTTCGCGCGATCTACCTCAATCCCCTGCTTGGAGATCTTGTGCCCGAGCACAATCCCCTCACGAACCATAAAATGGCACTTCTCCAAGCTGAGTGCCAGATTAGTCTCCTCACACCTCTTCAGAACGAGTTCCGGGTTATGGAGACAATAAGTGAAGGAGTCTCCATAAACCGAGAAGTCGTCCATGAAGACTTCCATTATCTCTCCAACCACTCGGTCGAAGATCGCCAGCATACATCTCTGGAAGGTCGCTGGTGCATTACATAACCCGAATGGAATCCTCTCGTAAGCAAAGGTACTAAAAGGGTAAGTGAATGTGGTCTTCGCCTGATCCTCTGGCACGATAGGAATCTGGAAATAACCAGACATGCCATCCAGGAAGCAATAAAACTCATGGCTAGCCAACCTCTCAAGCATCTGATCAATGAAAGGTAGGGGAAAATGGTCCTTCCTGGTAGCGTCGTTCAGGCGCCTGTAATCGATGCAGACTCTCCAGCCAGTCACGGTTCTCATCGAGATCAGCTCGTTCTTCTCATTCGGGATCACAGTCATCCCACCTTTCTTCAGGACCACCTGAGTGGGGCTGACCCACTTGCTATCAGATATAGCAAAGATAATCCCTGCGTCCATTAACTTTACAATCTCTGCCCGGACCACTGCCTCCAAGTTAGGAGTCAATCTCCTCTGCGGCTGTCTGACTGGCTTAAAGTGGCAAGCTCTATTTGTCAACCCGGGGTCAAGATCTACTGCCTACTCCGTGATTATCTATTATCCAGCAAACTAAGTCGAGTGATTGTGATTTTAAGTAAAAGCAGTAAGAAAGCAGGAATTGATTCAAAGTTCTTTAGCAAGGGAAGAGTCACTCGGGAATGAGTCCCCCTAGCTCCTTAGTTAGGTCAAGGTTGTAATTAACTTGGGTTGATTAACTGTTGATTAAACTGCGGAAGATCCAACGGTATCTTGGAATCTCTTAAGCTGACCAAGCCCTCTCAGGCAGACTAACCTGCAGGCGACTAGCCTTAACCGGGATAGACTCTTGTACAAACCAGTAAATCGATTAACTCTCGCATAACCAATCTACCACTACCGATTGATGAAGCTCTAACAACCTAATCAGATTCTATTTATCCAAGTTTGCAGCAGAAATCAAGAAAAGATTATCAGGCTTCAATTGGCTCAATCCCAAGTCATTACAATGAAGGTTTCTAACACATGGAACTAGGGTTCTTCATACCCAAGTGGGAGAAAGTTCTACTCCATAGAGAGAGAGAGGAAAATAGAAATCAGAGCAGTCATACTCATAAAGATGAGGATAATCTGCTTTGGAATGTCGATCTTCACTCCTGAGGATGCAATATGGGCTTCAATGGTGAGAAATCCACTCCAAATAGCTCCTAGGGTTTGTTCTTCGCACTTTCTCTCTCTAAAGCTCTGTTTTTTTTTTTTTTTTGCTCAAAAACTCGATTCCCTCTCCTTTGGCTTGAATCTGCCTCAAAAGCCCAATTCTAGAAAAAACACGGTCGAGGATACGGCCGTGTTTTTCTTTTGCCCGTCCGTGTTCTCGCCACATGTTGAAAACACGCCCGCGTTAGCCTAAAACACGGTCGTGCACACTAATTGACACGGCCGTGTTTTACTCCAGTGGTGCCCGTGTTTTGGTCTTCTCAGCAGCCTCCAAAAACACACTCTCGGCATAAAAGCACGGTCTGAGACACGGTTGTGTTCTTCAGGCCTCCTGCCTGTATTTTTACCTCAGCTCGACCGAATAACCTCCAAATGCCTCGAAACTCGTGCCTAGCCTTCCTTTCGACGTCGAGGACCTGAAATGTGACAAAGTAGCACAATCCAGCGTAAAATAGGCAAAAAATGTACGACTACGAGCCGCAAACGGATGAGAACTAAGGGTGCAAACATGTGCAAATTAATCATTATCACTTATACAACAACATCAAAGACATAGTAGTTGGTAACAATCTACCTCTACTCTTCTATTGTTTTTACCTTCAAGTTCATTTATTCGAGGGAAAACAACGTACCCACTAAAACAAAAGTTTTTGACCAAATAGTGTATCTCTATTGTTGTTATTTTATAGATTCATGGTTAGCTGCAAGTTGGAGACAACATTGTTTATTTAACCCAAAAAAAAAAGACAACATTGTTTAATCTAACTTTGTTGCTTTGTATCGCGAGTGAGCTAGATTTTTTTGGAATCTCTAGAAAGAAACTACTCAAGGATAGTGACAAAATAAGAGAACCTTCACGTTCTCATCTCATACAAATTGAGAGCATGAAGTTAAATTTTCACATCAAGCTCACCGATTATAACATCTCTACCCCATAAGTGGGTACACAGTTTGGCAATAATGTTTTACATCGAGTAACAAATAGTGTAGTCGTCTTATAAAATTTTGAGGATTCAATCTCCTTGCATGACTTTTGTTTTTACTTTAAGTAAGGACTTTTCTCAATAGATCGGGTCTTCCTTTGAACAATTAGTAAGGTTATTATATTGTTAATGAAATTCACTCGGCCAATGGGCGGGCCCTAACCTAGTAGATAGGTAATTTTGATTTGAAACACAGTGGAGGGATCATAATTTATGGGGAAAACTGCAACACACAAACTTAATAAATCAAATTCCAGTTATGCAACACTTCAAAAAAAAAATATTTCTCAAAATATCAAAGTTTGGGTTGTTCTCCAGTAAGGAGGAGGATCGGGGAGAGAACGACGAACCGCATAAAGATTGTTGTTCTTCTAAAATCCCCAATGAATCCCTGTGTTATATCTCATTCGTTTTACATCATATTTTAAAAATAAATTGCATAGAAAAATCATATTTTTGTGTTTTAAAAATATCCATTTTTGAAATATGTCATCTTACTACTACCATATCATGATACCACTATCATATCATGATATTATCACAGTGATATTAGCATCGTATGGCAGTGTATGATGATATTGTGAGTCTTATCATAGTTGTAAGTTCATGATATTAGGGCTGGGAATTCTGTCACGATTTTCCGGTTAAACCGAAAACCGGACAGTTTAAACCGTCCCGATTTTAACCGAAAACTGGATTCCCAACTACCCAATCCAATTGTCGGTCGCTTAGGTGCTGAGAAAAACTGGGCCAGTCCGGTCCGGTTTAAAACCAAAAAACTGGGTAAAACCGGATGCCATACAAAATCCAGCCCAGCCTTAGTTTTCAATAGATCAGGCCCATATTAGACGAAGCCCATTTTTCAATTTTCGATTCCCAGCCCAGCAGGCACCAATCCATTAGCTCTAGGGTGAGAAACCCTATTATCCAATTTCCAATTTCTATTTCCCATTTCCCATTCGGCAGTTTCCCCCTCCATCTCCCTCCCTCTCGCCGCTGGCCACTGCTACCTCCTCTACGAGAAAGCGATCCCTCGGCTGCAGTTCAAGAAAATATGGCAGACGACGAAGTGGCTCTTAACGAGTCACGACCACGAGACGACACCATCATTTCCATTTTCCAATTCTCGTCCCGCGACTGTCGCCTGACTTCCGTCGATCTCCGTTCGAGTTCTAGATCAGTCGATCTCCACGTCGATCTCCCGAGCTCGAGGTCTACCAAAGGAAAACTCCGCCCCTTCTCCTTCTCCCGTCGAGCATCGGGACGAGTCTACCCAGACTCCGACGACGAACTCAGTCTCACCATTCCAGTCTCTGGTCAAGATGGTTTTCTGGTCAAAATCGGACCAAACCGTATCTCATCCAATCCCGTCTCCATTCACGAGTATGCCCAATCTGGTTGTAAAAAACCGGGTCAATCCGGTCATGTTTAAACCAAACCGGACTGTTTCCCAGCCCTACATGATATGCCAGTTGTAAGATGATATTATGAAGTCTTATCATATTATGATGTAAGCATGAAGTGGTCAGATAGTATGAAAATTTAACAATTTCTTTAATATCTCAAATTTTCCCTTTCAAAACAACTTTTCACACAAGTATTATACTAGGGCAACTGTTTGTACCATCTAGATCATCGGGACGGAAGGAACCTGTGGAAGACGGGGATGCCCCCCGGATTATTCTCCGATGATCAAGTCAGTATCATGTAGAGAGATATGAGAGAGAACCAAAGTGTAAAGTGAGGGCGGAGTAGTTGAGTCCCTTCCTTGGAGGGCTTGGAAGCACTTATATAGTTGTAGCACGGATCAAGCAGCGCGCGACACTGGTTACCCGTCATGGTTGGGCGTCATCGATTGCACGTCAGGGGCGCCACTTGTTGGCGTTACTGTTGGTGCTCCTGACTGGTTCTCCACTACTTAGTCCCGATTGGCATCGTTGTTGGTGCTCCTAATTAAGTGCTCCACTACTAAATCTCGATTTTCATCGTTGTTAGTGCTCTTAATTGAGTGCTCCAATACTTCGTCTATGCGCGTCATTTATAGCACTTTGAATCGGTGCTTTACTACTTAGTCTCTTCGTGGCCGACTTAATTAGTAACTCCCCAACAGCAACTTTTCTAGGAAAACAATACCTGCTCACTTTTTCACCCTAAAAATATAATAATAATTCTGCTAGCTAGCTGCTTGTATTCACCCTGCTGCCCCATATATAACATAGGGGGAGAATTTCATTTATAACGTGGTAATAACCAATATTAATGTTGTCAGCTCGATTTAGCTCGTTGGCCCGATCGAGCAAGTGAGTTGATGGTTAATCGTCTAACTGTTTTAGTCCATTTTAGTTTATATATATATATGGAAAAGTCATAATACTGTTCATACATTTATAAATTTAGAGGTGGCAAAAATATCTGTAACCGTGGATATCCGCCCGAATTCGACCTAATCGGGTAGGGTAAAACCCGAACCCGAAGGACTTTTAGTGGATCCGGGTAAAACTCGAACCCTAATATTGCAGATATTGGGTGGACATGGTTTTCTCACTATCCAACCCGAATCCGCCCGATTATACACATGCATATGTATTTTGTCTACAAATAATCAATATTTTTCTCTAACATATTTTACATTTAGCATATAAATATAATATTTTTATGAAATTGTGTTGTTTTAACTAATTAATTTTCTTCATTCCAGTGAATTATTGTCGTACTTTTTGTCTTACATAACATGAGAATACGTGTGAATGTAACATATTGGTTGGAGTTATAAAGAGAAACTATTACCCATGGATAACCGTGGATACCCAAAACCTAAACGGGTATAGGCACGGTTTGGATTTTCTACACGTTTCTCATATGGGTATGGGTATGGGTATGGGTAAAACCCGAACTACTTTGGGTAGGGTAACGGATATGCACTCTCCGTCCCCGACCCATTGTCATCCCTATATAAATTATATCAAATCTCATCTAAGATATGAGTAATAACATATAATATCATACCAAAAAAACAGGTTGTACTTGGATCCACCATATAGTGAAAATTTACACACATTTATATAACAAGAAGATTCAAATAATGTTAAACTTAGAATTGCAAAGATAGGGCTAGGTGAAGAGGGAAAGCGGAAAAAATACGCATTTCACAAACCAAAGGAGAAAACGACGTCGTGTGACCTCCAACCCGTTAACCTTACAACGGGTACATCTCGAGTGTATTTGGCTCGTATTTCTCAATGAGTCAGGGTCAAAACGGGTCGACCCACGAGTTCACACTTTATTAATAACTAATCATGGTTACCAGATTAAGATTTTGTACGATTATATTCACTTTTTTGTCTCATTCAGTCATTCTTAATCTGTTTTTTTTTTTTCCTAAATCATATTTATGCTCAAATTAAGTAGGATTTTATTTTTATAACCACATATTTGAGCTATAATAAAATTGTAATATGTGAAAATTTTAATTTTCAAATAATTTAACTACATTTATCATATTATAGTTTGTTTCTTCATTTTTGTAATAAAAAATCAATATTCCTAATGTTTCTCCGGCCCCCTCTCTGAATAGCGTTACCGTCTAGGCCCTTATTGATGTAAAATATAGCAATTGCGGAAGTAAAGAAGATGACGATTTACGTGGTATCCCAGATTAACGGGACTAATCCACGGAGAGCTGATCTCTCAGATAGGGTTTCACTATATCAAGCCGAATAGAAATCAGTTGTTCTTGTGTTACAGTGGCTGCCGAGGTTTACCCTTATAATACCCATCACCCGATTAACCTAGGGCAATTAGGGAATCTTAACACAATTACCAAAAGGTACCAAAAGAATAAATCAAGTCTAATTTAACACTTCAACACTCCCCCTCAAGCTGAGGCATGAAGGTCACAAATGCCCAGCTTGAACAATAGGGAATGAAAGGGATCCGCGCCCAATGCCTTGGTGAAGATATCCGCTAACTGAGAGGAGTAAGCAATCTTCAGCGGCTCAATCTCGCCAGTGACAACACGCTCACGAACGAAGTGACAATCCATCTCCACATGCTTAGTGCGTTCATGGAAGACTGGATTAGTTGCGATGTGAAGAGCAGCCTGATTGTCGCAGTAAAGGGGTGTGGGCGCCGACTGAGGTACGCCAAGTTTAGTGAGGAGTAACCGCAGCCAAATGACTTCACTGACGACACTGGCCATGGCCCGGTATTCCGCCTCGGCAGAGGAACGAGCAACAACGCGCTGCTTCTTCGTGCGCCAGGAAACGGGAGCAGTACCAAGTTGAACAAGATAACCAGCTGTGGACCGACGGGTAGTCTGGCAACCTCCCCAATCTGCATCACAGTAAGCTGTCAATGTCAAGGAACTGTCAGAAGGGAAGAAAATACCCTGACCTGGAGAAGTCTTGAGATAACGAAGCACACGATGGGCAGCATTAACATGCTCAGGTCGCGGATCATGAACGAACTGGCTCAAAATGTTAACAGCATAAGTAATGTCCGGGCGGGTGACCGTGAGGTACAGAAGTCGGCCAACTAAGCGGCAGTAAGAGCTAGCATCAACAGTGGTGGCAGGCGAATCACTGAAGGAACTGGGACGCGTGAGGTTGTGATTTTGTTCCATAGGGAACTGACTGGGACCAGCAGCAGCAATCCCAGCATCATGGAGCATATCAAGCGTGTACTTACGTTGATTAAGGACTACAGCTGCTGGAGACCGAGCAACTTCGATGCGCAGAAAATACTTGAGAGGGCCGAGATCTTTGATGCTGAACCTGGCATGAAGGAACGACTTGACGCGAGAGATGAAAGCAACATCATTACCTGTGAGGAAAATATCGTCGACATAAATGAGATGCGCGACGAACGAGGCACCCCGACGATACAAAAGAAGAGAGTGATCAGCATGGGATGGAACAAAACCCAACTCAGTGAGGCCTCCGTGAATTTTTTGTACCAATTCCGTGAGGCCTGGCGCAGACCATAAAGGGACTTCCTCAACCGGCAAGCACGAGCATCGCCTTTCTCGGCAAAACCAAGAGGGACTTTCATGTAAACCTCTTCCTCAAGGTTTCCATGGAGAAAAGCGTTGTTAACATCGAGCTGATGAAGTTGCCAACCTTTGCTAACCGCCACTGCAAGAAGAACACGGACAGTGACAAGCTTGGCAACAGGAGCAAACGTGTCATGAAAATCAACGCCTTCTATCTGAGTAAATCCTTTAGCAATGAGTCGAGCTTTGAAACGTTCCACCGAGCCATCAGGATTATACTTGATTTTGAAGACCCATTTGCAGTCAATAGCACGCTTACCAGGTGGTAAAAATTCCAGAGTCCATGTACCGTTGGCCTCCAAAGCCATTATCTCCTTAATCATCGCCTCACGCCAACAGGCATGCTGCACGGCATCATGAAAAATACGAGGTTCCACGAGCTGAGTAATGGCAGCCAAAAAATCCGGTGCGGTTCAGAGAAACGTTGGTAGCTTACATGGTTGGAACTAGGGTAGACAGCAGTCGAAGAAGAGGGATCACCAGGAAACTGTACATCGTAAATGGCAAGCTTGGGGGGACGTCGACGATCATGGAGACCACGGCGAGGAGCAGAGGTGAGGACGAAGTTGCGTCCGATGAGGCAGGAGACGTGGGACCGGGAGAAGATCCACCGGCGTCCATCCCTACGTCAATCGTTTCGGCAGAGGGCGAGCCATGCACGCCATTCAAAGGCGTCGGAGGAGGATCACCTACGTCGAAGCTGGCGTGGATGTCGTCGGCCGTGTGTAACCGAGCATCCACCAAAGGATCCAGCTCCCCCTCAAATGGAACTGGGGAAATAACAGGCTACGGATCCGAAGGAGGTGTGGACGGCCTAAAATGGAAGTCACTTTCAACGAAATGGACGTCTCTGGAGGTGTAAATCCGGCGAGAGGAGAGGTCATAAACACGGTAGTCGTTCTGCGAAAGAGGGTAGCCAACAAATACACCACGCCGACCACGTTCGGCAAATTTATATAGTCCCGAACGAGTGTCCTTGGCATATACTAAGCAGCCAAAAGTCCGAAGGTGAGTATAAGGAGGAACCCGATTTAGCAAGACCTCGAATGGGGTTTTATTGTGCAAAACAGCGGACGGTAATTGACTCGACTCTACTGTCACCCTAGGAATTGGCCAAGTGCAACCACTCCCTAAAGCGTAGTATAGCGGGTTTAGGTTTATATGTCAACCCGGGTCCTAGATTTGCTGACTACTCAGTGAGTTCTTGTTATCTAGCAATAAAACTGGAGTGCAAGTCTAAACTAACAAACTAACAAAGTAAGTAAACTGTTGTATTCAGGTTAAAGAGGTCACCCGGATATGGTTCCCCCTAGACTGCAGTTAAGCCGGATTGTAATTACCAAGTTCAGTTTCTATGACAGTTATACTGCGGAAGGTTCTTAAACAGCCTGAAGTCTCGACTAAAGGTCTTCAGACCCTCTCAATCTGACTCTCTAGTGGGCGACTAACCTCCACCGGAGTCGACAGATTGAGGCCCTAAGAACAAAACCTCCACTACCAGAGTAAATCTGGTACAGAATAGTGAGATGGCTCCTCGACTAAAGTCACCAACTCCCTACCTTCAATCAATGATACTCTATTAACCTAGGCAGATATTCTCATTCTAGGTCAAAGCAGAAACAACAGGAATTTGATCAGGATTCAAGTCATTCAATCATTAAAACCTCAATCGAATATAATCAATCATAGAATCAGTACTTGGGTTCATACAATCAAAGCCTAACACACAAATCTAGGGTTCTCCATACCCAAATGAATGGGAGAACTACTCCATAGAGAAGAAAGCAAAAGCAGAATCAGACACGGAATTCATACTGCGAAGGATGGATTCCTGCTTCTGGACGTTGATTGGCACTTCTCCAAGCTCAAGCTGGCCTCCAATGGTGTTGAAGATCAATCTAGAGCACTTGGGAACTCTTGCTCGTCACTTTCTCTCTCTAGGAACTGATCTCTCTCTCAAAAACTCGAATCCTCCCGAATTGTGGCTGAAATTCTGCTTAAAAGGAGAAAATCCCGACTCACACGGCCAGGGTGGCACGGCCGTGCAGCTCACCCAGTTGCCCGTGTGAGTCAAAACGCATCGTTTCATTTAGTTCGAATTCCAGGCTCTTTGCACGGCCAGAATGGCACGGCCGTGTGAACTCTCCTTCCTGCCCGTGTTTGCTCTCGCAGAATGTGGCACGGCCAACCCGGCCACATGCACGGCCTTGTCGATCCTCTGCTCTGCCCGTGTGTGCTCTCGGCAAAACTCGCACGGCCAGGCCATTACTTCACACAGCCGTGCGAGTTTCAGGGCAGCCCGTGTGACCTCCATTGTGACTTGTCTCGCGCCCGATCTTCACCCAATCGACCCCGAACTCGCTCCTAAACCTTCATTCACTTGCCAGGACCTGAAATATCACAAACAAGCACAACCTAGCATGAAATCGGTCTAAAACACGAGAAACCACCTCTCAAACGGTGTAAGAACAGGGGTGAAAACATGTGTAACTAACGGTCTATCAGTAATCGATTAATCAAGTAAGTGGCAGTCAAGGCCCATTCTCCCCAAAAATGAACTGGAAGACCTGCATGAAATCGAAGAGCCCGGGCAGTGTCGAGAAGGTGACGATGTTTTCGTTCAGCCACTCCATTATGCTGTGGGGTGTTGACGCAGGAGGTCTGAAGAAGAATCCCATGATCTGCATAATATTCCCGGAGAGAATTGGTCTGAAACTCCATGTCGTTGTCAGCCTGTATTTTCTGCACCTGTTTCTTGAACTGAGTAAGAACCATCTGACAAAAGGAACGAAGATACTGCTCGACATCGGATTTATATTTAAGCAGGTAAACCCAAGTAGCACTGCTAAAGTCATCAACGATAGTCAAGAAAAATCTGGAACCATCCATAGAGAGGGTCTGATAGCCACCCCAAATATCCACATGGATCAACTCGAAACAACCATGAGTTGTAATAGAACTTGAAGGGAAAACAGTACGCGTTTGTTTAGCTCTCAAGCAAGAGTCACAATGTGATTTAACCAAACCAAAAGTTGTGAGTCCAAAAACATCACGCAAACGGGAATGTTTCTCGAAAGAAGGATGTCCGAGGCGCCGGTACCACAACACGTCCTCATCTCGGCCGGCGGCAAGGGCTGTCACAGCACGTCTAGGACAAGAAGCGCCCACTCCCCCTCGCTGCAGATAATAAAGGCCATCACAGTGGCGACCCAGTCCAATCACTATCTTGGAACGTGAGTCCTGGAGGAGACAAAAATCAGCCAAGAAGAGTAAGGCAATATCATGATCCTGGGCAAGACGGATAACAGATGGGAGATTGCATTTGAACTTAGGGACATTATGAACACGGCGTAACGTGAGACGATCATTCAGCACAACAGAACCAATGCCCTTGACAGGTATACATCTACCATTAGGAATTAGAACTGAGGAATAAGTACCACTAGTGTCTAACCCGGTAAGCCAACCAGCATCCCTAACAATGTGTTCATTGCAGCCTGAATCAATAAGCCATTCGTAAGGATCAGTACTATTACCCGTAATGTGCACCGTAGGGTCGGGAACCGGCACAGGCGAGCTGAAAAATTGTTTTAGATGAGCAAATTGAACCCCGGTCAGTCCCGGAATGGGGTTGTCTTCCCCATCACCATGAGTTGCGCGCGGCCCGCTCTCGTTCTGCTGCTTGCAAACATTAGGAGGCTGCTCCCCCTGTTTTCCTATGCCATAATTAGAGGGAAAACTAATCAAACGATAGCACATGTCTTTAGTATGCCCAAGGTTGCGACAGTGACTGCAACGGGGGGGATTTCTCGGAGGATTTCTCTAAGGAAGCAGCGGGCTTGGAATCCTCTTCCCGCGCCTAGAAAGCAGCCGATTCCACATTGGGACGTCGCCCAGCAGTGAGTTGCTTTTGTTGTTCCTCCCCTGCCACTAATTGATACGCCTCAGCAAGGGATGGAATGGGCTTCATGCTGAGGATCTGTGAACGTACCACAGCAAAAATATCATCAAGTCCAAGTAAAAAATCGAAGAGCCTCTCCGTTTCAACCTTCTCGCGGGTTTGCCGAGCAATCAAGAGCATCCGCCACAACTACAACGCGGATTGATGCTGATGGTTTGAAGTTCGTCCCAAGCAGTCCGGAGTTTTGTATAAAATGCAGAAACGGAAAGTTTCTCCTGCGAAGAGAGGCAAGATGGCAACGCAGCACGTAGGCGCGCGTAGCAGAGCTCGTTCCAAACCTCTGACGAAGATCGAGCCAGATTTCTCGCGTCGTTTGAGCTCCACGCACGCTGTTGCGCACTTCTTTACTCATCCCGGTTTTCAGCCAGCCTTTAACCATCGCATCACAACGGTCCCAAGCATCTGCGCGCATACCAGTAACAGCCGCGGATCATGCCAAGGAACCATCGACGAAAGCTAACTTGTTCTTGGCGATCAAGGTCTCTGTCATATCATTGACCCATTCGCCGTAATTGAGATCGGTTAAGAGATCGCTCCCAAATAATTGACCAGGGTTCTCCGAAGGGTGAAGGTATAGAGGGGAGGTGAGTGGAATAGCCGAATCAGCGCTAGTGAGGGCGCCACTGGTGTCGCTCACCGTAGCTTCCCCGGTCGACATAGTTGACGTAGATCAATAGTTCAAAACTCTGATACCATGTAAAATATAGCAATTGCGGAAGTAAAGAAGACGACGATTTACGTGGTATCCCCGATTAACGGGACTAATCCACGGAGAGCTGAGCTCTCAGATAGGGTTTCACTATATCAAGCCGAATAGAAATCAGTTGTTCTTGTGTTACAGTGGCTGCCGAGGTTTACCCTTATAATACCCATCAACCGATTAACCTAGGGCAATTAGGGACTCTTAAGCACAATTACCAAAAGAATAAATGAAGTCTAATTTAATACTTCAACAATTGATCTTTTCGTTTGTGATCTGTTACTATCATTGAATCTTTGACTCTTTAAATTATATACTCATATGGACCGATCCACCCTGACCTAAACCTCATAATAAATTACAAAAACTACCATAGACGAGTATAAGTAATGAGATACCCGCCCACCTTGCCTATGTCATCCCCGGGGTTAAATTGACTTTGGGCATGTTATCAAGGAGTGAGGACACGAAGAAGTGATAATGGTCAGTGGAGCCGTGGTTGCAGCATTTTTTTCTTTTGCAACATCGACCAAATAGTAGAGTAGAAGACAGCACTCGAGTCGACCGAACTTGGTCACGTGGGCTTGCGGTATCTGGCTGGCGCAGAGATAGCTAATTATTAGGTTGGATGCATATGTAGGATAAGGAAACTAATGCTCGATTCGTTGCATTCAACCATACAAGCTAAACTCTGCCACTGTTTTAAGTTTCCTGTTATGTTTGAGCTTAAAATAAATTAGGTGGCGATGGCGCACCTTATTGCGGGCGGAGATGGCCTATCGACATATATTATGTGGCCTGTTATGGTGTTTGTTAGTATTATTAGCCAAAAATTAATTTTTGTTTATAATATTGACTTGACAATATGATATTGAATGAGAAATGATATATGACAGTCAACATCCAATTTCAAATATTTTAAAATTTTGGGCTAATAAATGATATTTACCTAAACCCAAGTAGACCCATTGATTATGGATATGGTATGGATCACGAATATATGAGTTTGGAAGTCTGTAGATGTGTCTGAGTAGGGCATGGATATTTACTTCCATATCAAAATGTGTATGATTTGGGTATGGATACCCATTTATTCGAAGTTGTTTTACACATACTAAAATTAGAACTATTTATAGAACTTCCAAATTTTAGGTGCCAAAATGTAGTACACAAAAATTTAGATACTAAAATGTACTGTTCC